ACACATAGACGAGCTTAGGGTGCCTTCATACCGCGCCGGCAGACGCCGCTAGCAGCCCGTAGCAGCCCATAGCAGCCCGTAGCCGCCTCTGGCCGCTTTCATTATATAAGCAAAATTATCATAATCTTACAACTTTGGGTGCTCTTGTCTACGTTTTTCATCTTCTACGCTTTTCTTTTGTTGTCGCCAGTAAGCAGTTTGATCACATATAATGTATGTGTCCATTGTTGTCATTACCTTCTCGCCGCATGGTCATCCTGTTGAACCATACTTCGCAGAAAATTCCTTTCGGTGTAATTCGCTCTGAGTTTGGACGCGTCCGCTTGCTGCTGGTGTGCAATTTGTTTTTTAAGTATGCTTTTGCTTCAATTTTTTCTCGGCTATCGGTGCATATCTATTTGCGGTTGAGTTCTTCTGGCTTTGATAATCGCGCACATCTTTTTGAATAAGATAGAATGCAAAATAATGTGAGCGCAATAGGATACAATGTGCGGAATAGAATAAGAACACAAATGTATTGTGGGGGAGTTGAATTGCATATTAGAGGTAATAAGAGCGGCTATGGGCTTCTACGGGCTGCTAGCGACTGCCACGGGCTGCTGGCGGCTGCTGCGGGCTGCTGGCGGCTGCTACGGGCTGCTAGCGGTGCTGCCGGCGAGGTATGAAGGCACCCTTACTTGCGCGTCGCTTTCACGTGGCAACCACGAGCTGCTTATCTGGTGCATGATTTCACGTGGTATGTCGTCGAATTAGTGCCAATTGCTCCGCTTTGAAAATAGTGTTTCCCTAAAACGGACTTTGCATTTCCCACGCAATATGCACATTGAATTTGGGATCAGAACCTTGAAAAGGCTCGAAAATGACAAAAACAGAAAGTTGAGAATGTTGCTGCTGCCTTCAAAGCCCTACTTACATATACTGAGTCAATGAGATTTTGCTCGATTGCGGCAAGCAATCGCCTAAGTCTTGCTGCAAAAAATGTTTCAAAGCAAGAAAATCGCTTGAATCGAAGGGCGAGTTATACGCGCGGTCAAGATGGCTACTCATGTCAGTCTAGATGGTTTGGACTTGACAAGCCCAAAACCGGGCTTCAATGGATGTAAAACTGCTTAGTATCCACCCTTCACATTTTTATCATATTTTATTTTCCCTCTACCGGCCCAGTTTTGAACTCGTTATCTTTGGAACATTTGCATTTGCATTTTGGGACCTTGGTTGCTTCAACATCTGGTCTTAAGTTTCGAAGTAGATTTTCTCGCTTTACGAGGCATCTTTTGCAGCGTGGCTTGAGCGATTACTTAGCTAAGGGGCCCGCTATTATACAGCATCAAAATCTTACGAATTCAATTCAGGGAGCGATGTCTCCAAAGTTTGAGTGCGCAAAGTCTGGTTATTCCTATTTTTGATACTTTGATTCCCGTTATAAAAATAAGCGAAGCGAGTGCAGCAAGAAAATTATTTGCAGCAGAACTATCCAGACTTTATGCTTGCAAAAGTTTAACCTCAAATAATTACTCTCTTTACCATACGAAATTGAGAGCAAGCAAATTGTCGACAGACAGAGAGAAACAGCATAATTTACAAGCACACGATTTCAACTAGTACAGCGATTTGCCTCAATACGCAGGAACTATACATGATTGACTCAAAGATTGGACGCCGTTGCGTCCGTCCAAGGCTAATTCGTGTACCAGAAAGACAGCAGATGTTAAGACAAACGAAAAACGATCTACTACAGAAACGCCAATACTTCCGCATTCTTTGCGTGCTATGTTTTACTGCTTGCCATAAGGACGCAAGGAGACAATACGAATAATTGTTGCAGCAAAGCCGTTACACAAACGTACAAATCATGCACTGAAAAGTGCGTATATCCACGACTAGAAAGGAAAGATATGCTGAACATGGAAATATTGGAAGAAAAATGTCCTACACTTCAAATCATATACAATTTTTGCATTCGTATATGAAAGCCCCACCCCCACAGGGTAGACCTCTGCTGTTTTGCTTGTTTTGCATTGTTTTGCTCTCGTCTCATGCAAGTGATTAATTTGGGTACTCATAAAAATTTCCTCTTAAAGGCAGTGTTCGGGCAAAACCTCGATTTCTAGAAAATCCACATACCTGGGGTTATCCGCAACGCTGAATCCGAAAATCCACATTAAAAGGCGCGAAAACGGCGAGAACATACGTTTTCCAAAGCTGCACAATTTGAAATTCGACGGTCCCCACCAAGGCAAAGACGCAGAATCGTTGCAGGACCCTACATTTTGACCGTGGCGGCATGCGTACTCTGCCACATAGCAAGAATTCGAACAGCGCGGAGGACCCCACCCCAAGGCGTAAGTTTCCCTACTTTCCGGTCGTTTTTCTTGCTTTAAAGGCAGTGTCCGGGCAAAAACTCGATTTTGAGATTTTGTGCTTATACGGGCCTATTCGCTGTGCTAAATCCGAAAATCCACAATGGAAAGCGCGAAAACGGCAAAAAAGGACTCTAGCGTAGGAGGGAAACAGCAAGTGGGCGGGGCCCTCCCCACTGAATTCATGCTCCCAGCTTCCGGAGCGGTCCTCTCGATTCCGGTTTCAACTCAGTCATTCACACTAAGCCGTAGCGATGTTGACGGCCAGCGGAACCGAGAGGACTGCTCCGGAAGCTGGGAGCGTGAATTCACAGTGGGGAGGACCCCGCCCACCTGCTGATTTCTCTCCTGTGTTAGAGCCGTTTTTCGCCCTTTTCGCGCTCTCCAATATGCATTTTCGGATTCAGCGTAGCGAATAGGCCCGGGTAGGCACAAAATCTCAGAATCGAGTTTTTGCCCGGACATGCTTTTAAGTCGAGTGTTATGACGTCGCACTTGCGCCATGTTGTGTCTGAGGGGGGCCACTTTCGCATGGCACTGAAATCCCAAAACTCCATCTTGCCCGGGCACTGCCTTTAAGCGGGGCTTCTTCTCCCAGAGCAAAAAATAGTCTGTCCTCTACCATTCTTCGGTTGTCTTTGATGATTGCAATATACCTTGCAGTACTACAGTAGTCTCGCCTTCTATATCACGAGGAACAGTTGCAGTGATAGGCGTTACTGAAATCTATCTTAACAGGGAAGGATACTTGGTGAGCCCGGCCATTCATAATGGTTATATTGAAAAATTGCCTTCTAATGCTGGTTCGAATACTGTTTTCCATATCTGCGAAAGGAGAACCTGGATGGAGTTATGATTTTCAAAATGAATTGAGCTACTGCGGAGGGTGAAAATCATTGAATAAAACCTTCTCTTTCCTCTTCAAATGCTGTATGGTTTAGATAGGTATAAATATAACGTTGCACCTTTCAAGATTCTCCTCAATTAGCTTTAAACGGTAAATTAGATCAAATTGGGTGATTTTAACTACCTAAAAGTAGGCAAATTTTTTACGAAAAAAAGTTCATAACTGCCTTCATATGATCGTTTCGCATTTCGGGCACAGATTTAGAATCAGCGTTTCGAGGTGCACCTTATGGCATACATCACATTCCACAAATGGCCGACGTCACCAAGTATCCTTTCCTTGTTAGTGGAAACATAAGTGGTCTTTTGTCTTTTCATAGAGACTAATGTTCAAACCAAATAGTCATGAGTTACTGCGCTGATAGTCATGCGTAAAAGTCAGTGGTCGTCAAGCTGTACCTCGCTGCAGAGCTCGCCGCTGCGCCGGGAAAAGAAAAGCAGATGATCAACCATGCGCTGATCTTGTCAGTTGCAGGGGTGTAGGGCGATTCGTACAACCGTATTGCTTTCCACAGAGGACCACCGCCGCAAGCGACACAACCTGTGCCGGCTTTTGCACAAGCAAATCATAGGGGAGGTAAATCAAGATCATCTGAGCACAGAATTCATCTGATCCTTTCAGATTCTTTTTACAAAATCATCTTCCAATTCAACTCTTTCAACCTTATCATTTGTCATTTCTCATTTGTTGACTTGACTCCGATCGCTCAATCATTACTGAATTTTCATGCACTTTGCTTTGGAGGTCGTATGATACTTTTTGCTTCGGCCTTTTATTTCGTGATCTGTTGTCACGTCCCATTGCCGTGATTTTTGTAATCCAAAGTGGATGCACTAATAAACTTCCGAGCTGATAGCGCCTAGTGTTCAAAGCTTCTTTCTGCTTAATGCGGTGACATCCGATATCTGTAGAAAAGAAGCACTGCAAGATTTAGAAAGAATCACGCGTAGGGTGGCTCATGAATAACCTAAATAACATTTGGGGTCTCTTGCGTTATCAAGAACTAAATGCAGGTTAGTCATCGTCCCTTTACTTATCATCCTTCACTTATCTTTACTGATATTCGCCCTACAGCTATTTGGCGCTTTATCATGCTGCATTAGTCGCGCAGTCACCACTGTCGCAAATACACCAATTCAGGGGGTGCGCCTTGTACGCTTGAAAGTAGGATGCTATGTTATGTTTTTTTGTCTCGAGTTTTCTATGTTTTGTTTCTGATTTGCTATAGAACGACATAATTGATTAACTGCTCAAAAGTTCAATTTTCTGTTTCGTAAGCAAAAATTCTTTAGGCACGGATTCATTATTACGCTTGACACTTAGGTGTATATCCCGCCGCGTGCTCTAATTGAAACGCGGTGCACCTAAGCGTATACCTTGTAAAGCACTCCATCGCACACTTTGTTTGGTAGCGCGCTACAGTAAGAGGTGAATTTGGCTTGCTCGCCTTCGGTCGTTATGCAGCTGACAGATCTAAATCAGGGCACGTCAAAAGTAACCACCGTTTCGGAAGTGGACGCGTATTCCGAGCAGTTGGTCAAAACTGCTTGTCAAATTAATACGCTGGCAACGACAAACGAACGTGGGAGCAATATTCAAAAGATTTTTTGGTTTGGTGTTTTCCTTGCTTGCATATAAGATTACCGTCCTCGTACATGTGTGCCAACAAATTGTATGACTGTGTCTTGTCTGCTATATCAGCTTAGATACCTGAAATCTTCTTCAGTCAAATGCTATATAGGAGTAGAAACCAAATCCGACGATAAAGCGCTTGATTCCATAGCTGATCGTAATTTGTACTCATTCTTTGTTGTCAGATGTCGATAGTAGCAAATTGTCAAATTGCTCCACCATATCTCGAAAACGGCTGCAAATACGATTGACATAAATTTGTATCATAAAGGATAAAGGATTCGGGTTTCCATTTCCAAACCCTCTGCGGACATGCGCCAAACGCACTATACTTCATAGTCGAAGAGGCTACTGGATGCGTGCGGGCCTATTATTGACTTGCGGGGATCAGCGGCGTGATTACCAAGTCAATGCTTTTGTCCTTCCAAATTACTTTGGTACCAATTTACCAACCCCGGAGGGTAGAAGGCTTGGTTGGCTATGCGAGATCGAATCTAGGTCCGATCTGGTCATGAGGACGCCCAATAGCACTACGCAACTCATCCCCATGTCCATGTGTACGGGGGCCAAAAAAGTATGTACACCCTCTTTGCTCGTTGATTATCTTTTTTAAGCTTAGCTTCAAAGCCCATTTAATGGAGCAGGCTTTAAGTAGATTTGCACTATGAAGCAATTTACTCATTGCTTCACCATTACATGGAACGGAACTCATATATTCTAATGGCTTGCGCCGCTAATAAGCAAAGTCCACGACGGCTCATGAACTGACAGCAGCGGTAATTTTCACCAAAGACGAGCTGATTTTGCTCACTGTATTCAGGTTATCATTCAACAAATAATCAAACTGGAAAAATTTGAATTTAAAGTTCAGTAGTAAAATTATCCAGTTAGGGTAAAAATATGTATTTAGGTGTAGTCTGTCATGCTGTTTCGGAATATGATACTGATGTGCTTGGAACATTGAGATTCTTTTCTTTTCAAATTTTGACTTGTTTTCACAAATTTTTCTCAAGAGTTCCAAAATTGCTATTCAAGGGTTTCCTATGATGCTGTTTCCGAATGTTTTGAAAGTATGCTGCTGGTTTTACTTGAAACTTTGGATCTTTCTTCGAGATTTCATTTCTGTTCATAAATTACTCTACAATCTTGGTAAAATTTATTCAAGCGAAACCACCATCATATTGAAACAGCACGACAGAAAACCATTGAATGCAAGTTTTTATTCTAAGAACTTGCATTTGATAAAATCCCGGTCTCATAAACTGTGGGATGATGGCATAGTTACAGTGATCGAATCAGTTCTTCTTCTGTGCAAAAGGAGCAAGCTAGCATTGCTGCCAGCTCATGACCTCATTATTTGCTAACTACGTAGCGGCAGCCTTTCGGGGTATGTAAGTCTCCCTCCCCATTATTGTGTCGTTATGGAAGAAACTTTGAAGAGAATTTGAGCGAACTGGCCATATTCCCAAAATGAACACTTAATAGGTTAAAATTTTTATCATCCGCCAATGGATAGCTGACTATGTGCATGTATTAGGTTGTTGCAAAAATAATGTCCGTTTTGCAAATTTCCAGTTTGGAAGGCTATAACTTCGTTCAGTCTTCATATTTTTGAATGCTGTCAAGACCATCAGAAACAGCAAACCTTTCTTAATATAGCGCTCACCTGCCCGTACTGATATCTCAAAAGGGAAGAATATCATGCGTCAAAAAACTGAAACTTTTTATTTTGAGAACCTCGTATTTAAGAGCTTACAACTCCCTTCAAGTTTTGTTCGTATAGCTGGCAATCAGCTTATTTTGTAGACTCAAGCCAGTAGCATACGCCTGTATAGAAAAAATTCCAAAGAAGGAGTTCTGCGAAAAGAAAAGATAAAAATTCAAAAATGTTCACTTTTTTAAGCGTATTTGCTGTAGGTTTGTGAGTGCTAAATTATAAAAATTTGGAATTCTTCGCGCACTGAATAGCTAAGTTTTTCTTTAGATATCGTAGTTAAGGTGTGATCACCTCGAGCCTACAGAAATGGGAGAAGCTTTGGCGATTACCTTAATTATTAGAAATTTCTGACCCACAGAATGCCTGCAGCAAGTATCTATTTCGAGGCGTCAACTTCTCGGTCCAGATACCTCCAAAAATCTACGTAAGCATGCAGTAGGTAAACAATCCTCATCTAATATAATTGCTATGTTTTCAGAAGAATCCGTTTATTTACTCCTGAATTGTGGCCAAGAAACTGAAAGCTATGAAATTTTGATTTTGAATGCGGATGTGCAAAATGCTGGTGAAATTCTCACAGATGAGGAAGCAACTCAATTCCACCATCGTTAGAAAGTACATGATGAGAGCTTCCTAATGATATGCAGGTTCTATATCGTACAAGAAAATTTGACGGGAAAAAAGTCGTTTGGAAAAGGGGCTTATAAAAACGGACATTATTTTTGCAACAACCTAATAATTGCACTTTACCGTTAGGCTTTTTCAACACGTTGCCAAAGTAGACAAACGGTGTTCTTTAAGCGTTTCCAAAGAAATGGTTCTAGCTGTTTGCTAAAGTTAGCACGCACCTGGTATAAGAAGCATCAAGCTCAACACAATACTTGATGGAAGCAGCATCTTTCTATAGAATCCGAGCATCATGAGAACTGTAATACGACCTATGCTGAATTATGAAGCATTTTATAGCTTTACCTGTCGATATAATTGATGAAACAACGATGTAGGCATACTGCCAAAACAAATGCGGTAGAATTAGTAATGATATCTCGTTTCTTGAGCCAAGATAGAGCAGCAAGGCAGTGAAAACACAAGAAGAGCACACTGGAAAGAGAAGTAAGTATACAATACATTGTGTTATAGGAAAGTTGGAGTTACAGATATTGGAAACACTTATCAAACAGTAATTTATCAAAAAATCCTTCGTGAATGCAATGTATTTATAAATAAATTGTTCAAACAACATCGGAATCGGTGTCGCAAAACACTTTTTTCTATTGTTGCTAAAATGAATAGTGATTCATGAAAAGAGCTCTATACTCACTGATGACTTGCAATGCAAACAGCCAAACTCCGTCACCATCAAGCAATCCAAGAAAGTAAAAATACCTTCCATCCACATTAAGCAGGTCTGGTGATTGCATCAAAAGGATCAAGGAGAAAAACACCTGAACGCTTGGATATCCCAGCACTCGACGGATGCATGTTGTATATACCTCTATGCAGCAGATCAAATGAACCGATAATGAAAGTGAGAGTAGTCCGCAAAGGCACATGTTCTGTAACAGAGAGGCTATTATGGTGGAAACTACCTAGCTTGAAGAATCTAAAAGTTCTCTTTTCCTTCTTTCAAGCTTAAATTTAGTCATTTTTTATTGGAGGATTGAAGTAATTCAGTCAATCAATGTGTACACAACTTCAAGTAAACACGCCTAGTTTATGGCCTTAGGTTTGAAACGCTGCATTTGGCAGTGTCCAGGCAAAACTGGACGCAGGAACATCGGACATCGTACGTGAAAATGATTTTGGAAGCCCATCTAAGATACTGACGAAGCGGCAGCGCAATTTTGCATCGCGGCTGGTATATTTATCTCCGAGCGTTATTCCGCTACCATATTTGGCGGGGACTTCCGGGTTGCATGTTTCTGCGTTGGGACTCACCGCCTTTTCGCAGGATTGCTTAAAACCCTACAAGCGGATGCAAGTCGTCTAGTAAATACGGTGCTGAGACGATTGCCTGGACGCTACATTTAGTCCAACATTAAAATTGCTTCTTATCTTTTTGGAGGTTTATTACTATGCGAAACTGGTTTACATGTGTTAGATTATATTTGCTAATGCTATAGAGTTTATTCATAGAGGTGGCCGGAAAAGTCTCATCGTCACCTCCCTCGGTGCTGGTGGGCAATGGGAATCAACTCCGACAAACGACGAGGGCACTGTTCCGTCAGGCGGGGCGATGCACCGGCGACTGTACGAATCAGGCATCGGATTAAGGATTTTCGTCAAGCTGCTAGGGCGTCCCTCGAAGCCGACGCGCGAATAGCGACGGACGAAGAAGGCCAAGAAAGCGAGTCCAGGAAGTATGACTAGCGACGATCAACATAGCAACCTCAAGCCGCAGTCGAGAGCCATGCGATAGCTTGAGGCAACGACATATCGACATCGCATGTGTACAAGAAACAAAATGGAGAAGAACGCGCTAAGGACATAAACGAGGGATATGTCCTTTACTACAGCGGAAATAGCAGCCGCCAAAACGGAGTCGCGATCATGCCAGCGGAAAATACCGCGAACTAGTGACCGAGGTAACGAGTATTTCAGACAGGCTGATGGCGATGAAGATCGAGAGGCAGATGACGTCACACTCCGAGTAGTGTCGTGCTACGCCCCCATAGCCCGCATGCGGCGAAGCTGAGAAGTACATGTCTTGAAGGGACTTCGACATCCTACTAATAATAAGAACATTCGATGCCGCGGACTACGTCTTCGTGGGAGCCGATCTTAACGGGCACGTTGACCATGCACATGATGGATCCAAGCGGATCCAAGCGATACCATGGTGGAAATGGGTATCGTCAGAGGAACGAGGACGGAGAACGCATCCTGGAAGCCGTCGAAGCACACCACTTGGGTATCACCAACACATTTTTCAAAAAAGCGGAGTCGCATTTTATCGCATACGCGAGTGGAGACCACTCATCTCAGATCAACTACCGATGCTGCGCCGATGTCACTTGCCAATGGTGATAAACACGAATCGTACCTACAAGCGACGCATGCACTTGCACCACAAAATCTCGATTGCTCGTGATGGGCCTTCGACTGAACATCCACTTGTATCTGCGAGCAAGGAGGACGGTGAGAAAGAGAATTAAGGATGGAAACTTCTTGAACATCGCTAGCAAGTCAAGCATTTAACGCTCTGGAGTTGTCGGCTGGTGAGAAAGAAGTGATTGAAGAGCAATGGAATGGATTATTTCGCAGATACGATCGAGGGCCGAGGATATCTTGAAACCATCTAGCCAGCACGCCGATTTGTCGACAAGCAGATCTAGTGGTGGTCTGAGTCAGTCCAGCAAATAATCACGAAGAAGAACGAAGCCTTTAAAGTCTGGCAGCGCTCTCACGCAAACGAGGATCTCCATCGATATCGAGAACTAAATTTGAGAGCGAAGCATGCGGTAGCCGAGGCAAAGCAACCACATTACAAGAGACTCTACGACGAGCTGGAAGGACCTGCTGGAGCTAACGTCTATCAACTGGCCGCTGCCCGACATCGAGCAAAAGCAAGACATCGACCACGTCATGCACATTATAGACGCAGAGGACAATCTTCTGACGAAGCCGAGGGCAATACTCAAGCGGTGGAGTGAATACTACGAAGGTCTAAATAAGAAAGTTTCCGCCCCGCCATTACCGCAAGGAACGCCCACATATGTACCGGTACCTCGGATCGAGGAGACAGGAGTGGTAGGCACTAAAGAAGATGTCTAGCGGTGAAGCCCCGGGACCTGATGACATGCCTGCTGAAGTATGGAAGATGAAACAGCAAAAATTGGCATACTTTACAGTACTGGATCATCATCAACGGGCGGGTGCCGCAAACTTAGTCTACGAGTGTACAGCCCTTATCGGGAAAAACAAGGGTTATGTCAGCTATTGCCAGCATATCGACAGATAGCTTGCTGTGCCACACGATGAATATCTTTGAGCGAGTCATCGACGCACGCATCCGAAGTAGGAAAGTCACTTTAAATCAATGCGGCTTTGTAAAAGGATCTTGTACCAGCAAGATTACTGATGGAACGTCACTTGCAGCAGCGGATTCTGGTTCATTTCGCATTCTTGGATTTGGAAAAGGCATTTGATCGGATACCACACGGGCTGATCTGTATGCATTGAGACAACTCGAAATCCCAGAGAAAGTACATCCGCTGAATCAAACTTTCTTATGCGAACACGACGGGCGTCGTACGCTGTGTGGGGGAACTTCAGCGTCATTCGCAATCCAAGTGAGAGTGAATCAGGATAGGCTCTATTATTGCTTTTTTTTGTAAAGTGCATGAATACGGTAACAAGGAACATTCAACTGCCGCACACGTGGACGCTCCTTTACGCTGATGACGTCGAGCTAGTAAGCAGATTCGAAGCAGGAGCTCCAAAAGGCAACTGTGAGGGTAAGACGCGATTAGCCGAATGTGACCTGCGACTAAGCGTAGGAAAGACTGATTGTGAGTACCTGGAATGCGAACAGCAGACCGACGGTACAATAAGCATCGATGGGAGCCACTGAAGAAGGTCACCACATTCAAATACCTGGGCTCCTGAGTGACATCGGAATGCGAAACGGTTTTGATGCTTGCGCTAGAACGAATGCGGCGTTGCTGAAGTGGCGGCAAGTAATAGGAGTACTCTGCGACCGCCGAATTCGAATATATCTAGTCGAAAGCATATCGAACTGTGGTACCAGTCACCTTGTACGGAGTCTATTTTGGCCAGCAACTAGAAAACACGAGCAGATCGTGAGCACGATGGATACTTAGCTTAACAGAAGCTGCGTCACGAACACCGTGTGCGGCACACTTTGGAGTTGCACCTATCGCGGATACGCTAGGTGCCAGATTACGATGGTATGGTCACGTTTGACGAAGTGAAGGTAATACAGCCACGTGGCCGACAGAAGCAGCACTGGTTGGAAACCGTTGAAGGCGACCTGCACATTGCAAAGCTCAACCACAAGAAGCAACGATCGAGCAATGGAAACAAAAATACAACACCGCCGACCCTGCCCCCGCGGGAGTGGAGGATAAAGAAGAAGAAGAAATTTATTCATACAGATAGAAGCTCATAATACAAGATCGTTCATTGTCCTTCATATAGGGACGCACCTTTCAAGGCAGGCCAGTGGCTGCGCTCCAAATCCTACAAATATCAGTGGCGAATGGTATCGTGCTTCGAAGCTCCGGTCCACAACATGGCTTTAGTTTTTAAGCATTATAAGAATCATACTATATGCACTATGTCACTCGGTTGCGGGCTATGATCCAAGCTAAAACAGAGGAGCTCGATGTGCTCAAATAAAAGTTTTAGTGCAATTTCTCAAGGAACATTTGTAGTTAGCGTCAATGAGCTTAGGCGCAAAACTTTGGCTGGACAAGGTTTTGTCACGGATTCGATAACAACTACCTTTTTGAAAGAAAAAAAAATCAAAAACACTTTGGATTGGCCATGAAGGAACAAAGACAAAACATAGTTTATCTCAGCGATGGAAAGAAGGACTAAAACGTTGATTATCTATCAAATTATAGCTCAAATTCAATAATGGCTGCAGCACAGTTTGACTAGAGCATGCATACTCGCATAACACCGCGCTGAACTCTTTTTAGTAACTGCATTTTCAATGTGGCTCGACAAATTGATAACTAGGGATCGATGAGTTGGGTTGCTTATGTTGAACCATATGCGTCAGGCAACGATCTGCGTTCCCAGATTTGGCGGAAACTGTCCCACTCCTCCAGATTTAAAAAGAAGGGAGGAAGTGCTGGTTTTCGCCATCTTGCGTCCTCTAAGCTGGATTTTTAGGAACAGCCGAATTACCGCAAGTAAGCAAAAAAGTTTTAGACCGGGATTTGCAGAGCCAGTGCTTTCAGTGATCAAGCTAAGCGTAGCAAGCTAGCAAATTATGCATACAAAGATTAAAAAAAAAGCCCGAATATTCTCAGATGTAGGAAATTTGCATTTGCAGAAAGTATCAGGTAGACGTCTTTACGATAAGAATGATATACTTGTTTATCATTGCTATAAATGTTTTTTTCACAAAGATCTTCGCGACTCGAATAAACTAACTACACAAATCACTTCATATAATTATGTGTGTCATTGCACACATCGTCCACCTTTGGCCTTCCCATCCTGAATTCTTGGACGAGACAGTCTTTCAGGTAAGCGTTTTTGATGCCCTTTCAGTGTTTTGTTTCTAATCCAGGTACTGTTTACCTCAAAGTGATGTAAGCGGTAGCATCCGGTCAGTCTGTTGCGTTTTTGCGATCGCAAGTCCAAAATGAAGACGCCAAAGAGGGACGGTGTGTGCCGGTGCACACATGATCGTCTGAGATGATTCGACTGTACAATGACAGCTTCTTCTAGAATCCTTTCTAGCTGCAGTGAAGGAAGCGTACTCTAACAAGGTATGGTTACAATAAAATCAACCGGAACTTTAGCACTTGAGCTCAAATGGGGCCTTGATTACTACCGAGGCGTTTTATGAATAGGTTAC